AATAAAAATCTGATTTTTGAAATTCAAAACATCTATTTTTATTTTTGAAATGGTGATACTTATTAAAAACTATTGTTCCCTATTATTTAACCAAATGCATGATTTAACCATCTCTTTAACCAATTCTCCCATTTCCTTTCTTCAGCAAATCAGTTCTCTGCATCTCTTCCCTGCCCACTAGTCTCTCACGATTTCAGATCACAGGTTTTCCCCATTCTTTATTCCCTAAATCTTTTCTTTTTGGTTTCTTTGATAATTCATTCATATTTCATCATTTCTTTCTATTATGTTCTGTTTCCGTTTTGTGTGTAATCATCCATTGATTTGCATAAATGCACCATCTTCAGTTTACAGATGTGCTGTATGATTGATAGCAACGGCAATCCTTTTACATTTTTCCCAGAAATTCTCGAATATTATTTGCCCTTGCACGTTGTTGTTCATTCTTCTGACCATAATATAATGCTATGAGTAATTTGTTGCATTTTGTGTTAGCATGTTGTGATACGAGGAGATTATACTGAGGGTGACCTGATTGTTGAAATGCCCAAGTGATTGGAGGACTTTGTTGCTCTTTTTTTTTTTTTGGTTACTTCTTCCATTGGGTTACTAGAATTGATAATAAACGGGTTGTTGCAACTTAGAATCCGTAAAGACTCCACTGTGATGCGACCATTTTGTGGCTGCATGGATTATATGCTATAATCTGGTGAGAAAAGGTTAAGATAAAGCGAAGCAGTCAGGTATTGAAGAGAAAAATGTTGAAAAAAAGGTTTGAAGGAATTAAATTTTAATTTGTTGTAATGAAACAAAAGCATTTTGAAAATTTTGATTCATTCATTCACTGAGCCCTTTTAAGGGTTTGTATTTGAAGGCACGGCACGAGCTTTAGCTTAATTTCCTAAACATAAGGTCCATGCTGATTTTGGCTTTTGATTTGAGGGCCTCTACAAGGTCATTTTTCTCTCGTGTTGCCTTATTTGAGAATTTACTTCTACAGGAGTATGCATTTAGTCAGTATGTAGTTGGCATCTCTTGCACTTGGTAGTTGGTACCGAGGGATCTACTTCCATTATTATCAAATATGAACTTCTTTTGTTCTATTCCTTCAACAGCACCTTCTAACATTTATCAATTTTTTTCATTTTATCACCTAAAGCCATATCTTGCAGTAACTCGCAAGAATTTAAATTGTTCAGGAGAAATACTGGGAAGAGAAGCCTGGTCAAGATGTACCCCTAGTGAAGCCAAAGTTTTATGGCGGACCTTGGAGGGTAATGAGAGGTGAGGTTCCTGGTTTTATAAAGGAGTAGTTCTAAGAAGCCATCAATTAGCTTCTTGGCTCCTGGTTTCTTCATCTAAGATGATGTGAATGTTCTGGATGTGCTTATGCAGTAAGGGAAATGAAATGTTGGAATAGTTATACATTATTCTTATTAATGGACGGATGAAGATAAGCATTATTGGCTACTTAATATGTATAAATTTTGCATTTCTTTTCTTGGTTATTTTTGTGGATCAATAATGGAATGTAAGTTTGGAATTCATAGATCAGTTGTGGAAGTCACAAAGTACTAATTTTTTTTACATATGGTCAATGGGGGTGTTGTTTCTTTCTACTAATAGATAATAATTTACATCACTTTTGGCACTTGAGCTTCTTTGGGTTCTGGTTTCATCAAGTCCTCAGATTTACCTGCCCTTGGGAGACGATGTTGCCAAATTTTTTGAAGGGATTTCTCTTTGTGTTATAATTAGCAGAAACATTGTGTATTTTGCTCCTCATCAAGTTTTACTTGTATGCTCATTAGTCATAAATACAGAATAAAGAATGTGATATCACACAGTTGTATTCCCTGCTTCCTATTTAACTTTGCCTGAAGATCTAGTTTTGCTGTTGCAGGTGATATGGGATGAACATGAAGTTATGTAAAATGTGAAGACTGTAAGCCCCTGGCAACTTGAACATGTTTTGGCCACACCACATAATCATCCAGCATTTTCTCCTGTAAAATATTCAAAGACAGGCAAACAGCAAACTCCGGGGAAACTACCTGATGGAGAGGGAGACTCTTCATCCCTACTACAGAGTCAACCGACTTGATTACTGGAAATTCGAACTCATCAATGTTTAGTTATAGTTCATTTCCTGCAAGCAGGGAGCTAAGCTAGATCAGTATTGTGTACCCACTTTATCAAACTCCCACAGTTTAGTTATAGTTTTCTTTTGAACAGCTCCACTTGTGTATTTTTACAAGACAATATTGATGCATATTTTGGAATTTATTATTGGCCTGGTTATTGTTCATAATTTTACTCCAAAAATAATGTTATTGAATATTTAGATTTGACAATTAATGAATTATGAATGCTATTTTAATATGTAAACATTACAATCCAAAAACGCTATTGAGAACGTAACTACGACTATTAAAGAATGTTATTAAAGCCAACATTATAATAAAAAAAATGCTATCAAATTATAAAGAGATCCCACGGAAATAATGTTGTAAATATTAAAATCATGACAATAACAGATAGATGCACGACTTTTAATAACACCACCTACAATAACATTATGTAAAATGCTACAGAACATGATAGATAGTATTCTTTGCAAGTTATCGATGGTTTGATGTGCCGTAGAGTTGGTTAACAAAAAATATGTACTGTAAATATTGAAAATTGATTTTTAGTAGATTTTGATAAAAATTGATGAACGTGCAGTTGAAAAATTGATAAAAGTTGTCAATCCTACAAAATATGTAGTTAAAATTAATTATTAATTTTGACTTAAATCTTTATTTTTTTTAGCTAAACCAAAAGAGGACATAATTGTGATTGTATTAAAGCGTATTCAATCTTTAAACAAATTAGGTGGTTGCTAAGGCTCCGCATTTAGGTAGAGCCCTTAAAATTTTAAAATTTTGTATTCCAAATACTTTGATTGATGCCGAGTCATATTTTTTATAGATTTATTTAATAGACAAAAATTCTACTAATAAAATTATAATAATGAATGCTACTTGTTACGGGTTAAAGGACAGAACGGACACGTGACGTTACATCACGACGGTGGGACCAGATTAATTCGATCAGGTCATAATTCTCTAACTTCAGATGTGGGTTCCGAGGCCCTGGCTATTAG